GACAAATTTTAGTTGGTTTCCGGGTTTTGCCGTGGTTTTTTTTAGTTGAAATCTTCAAACATTTCAACTGTAACTGCGGCATCCATCTTCAGTGGCGTGGTTGAAGTACTCCTCTTGACATATCAACTGAGACTCTGTACATTCTGTGTCTCATTTTTTTATTGAAGGTAGACAGATTTGAAGAGCATCATTTTTTTTTGGATTAACAGATTTGTCAGGACCAAATGAATTTTGCTAGATGTTTCATTCAGTCTTTATTAATAGATTATCGCCAATAATATATGATTAAAGCACATGTGAGTCTTTAAATGCATTAGAGTGATTAAGCGCTGCCGCCGCTGGCTTTTACTATTAGTTAATACTTCTCTCATCCAGACGAGTTGAATGAACACATGCTCATTTTCTAGTTGTTTTCTCCCATATTTCATGACAACGACAAGTAATTAATATATATCAAAGTGTTATCAATAAGAACAACACTGAAGGAAAAAATTAAGAGAAAATTGATAGTGAATATATGTAAACGTTGGTCCACTGACCTACTGACAACAAATCGAGTCTTTTAGTCCCACCGCAATTTTTTGGTGCAGGTCGTTCACCTCTATTGACTTCAGAACGCCGAAGAACTTGAATACAAAAAGTTGTATTGTGAAAGGACAATTTTTCAGCTGTTTAACATTCTCCAACTATGTTAATTCAGATACAATCTGTAATTAATTTTTTTTCGGATTAGCTTTCATGATGGAACTGATAGAACAACAATGAAATCATCAATAATGAAAAAAGAATCTGGTTTTTTGATGACTTCTTGTGAAATATTAACTGTTTCACAACAGAAGTCTCGTGCCAATTTGTACGGGTGAACATTAAAACTTAGCTTATACAATTGAAATGGAGTCGATGTCTTGTTTCAACTATATGATTTATTGGGTGATATATGAAATCAGGGGTAGTTTAAAAGGGTGGCAGGGGACGCTATGTCCCAATTCTCTTGTATGTTACCATTGTATCTAGTCTTGACACAAAGATTTAATGAACAATATGAATATTCTTGAAGGAATATCCTGATACTTTATCTTCTAGTTTTCACAATTTTTTTTGCATTGTTAGGAAGTTGTGAAATATTTAGTGTATTATTCACCCGATGGAAAGTTTTTATGAAGTTCTTTCGTGAAGTATCGAATAAGTTCAATGAAATTGGAACCCTTCTCTCAAGACAAAAATGCTTGTGGAAAAATCTATTCAAATCTACAAGTACAAAATATATCCAATTTCGAGTTGAAGTTGTTTTCTGTCTACTCTTATCGTCATTATTTTTTAAATGACTGAATTAACATAAGAAAATTCTCTGGAGGACTTGCTATAAACCCCAAAAGTAAACAAGACTCAAATCGATCGAGAATCATGTACCTATAGAAAATGGGTTCAGCAAAATGGAATCGAAAGTCAGTGAATATGAACAAGTTTGGAATCTTTGTAAATCTAGTCGACCTTTCTGCTCGGTGTAATGACTTACCACTGTGAAGTAGTATTTATAGTTCGATAATATTGTCTCTGAAAATTTTGAATTCGATTCATTGTTTTAATAGAACTAACTGTTGAAATCGACACAATTTAACGTCTCATACCATATAAAATTTTTGAAGTTATGTGTTGGAGAGTTCACAAATTTTACTATGATATGAAGAAATCTATAATGTGAGCGTTTATAAATATGTTTCTTTCTATCTACACGAATCTATTTAGTAAATGTCAGTTATGCCTAAAAAATTGCAAAAAGAACATATTTTCCAAACAATTCGACATAAATAATATTTTGTTAAAATCATGGGAAAACAGTTGGACCTGAAATAACAAAAATCAACTTATAAATGGACCTTCCAAAACGACCCGTTGCTAGGATTGAGCTGAAACTCGATTAAAAGTTATTTTATCGAATGCAGTAAAAATGACTACAGTCCTGTTTTATTGTTTTCAAAATATCTTCAGAGCGGTACAATTCAAAGCTCTATAGAAAATCAAAATACGTTGAATATTTCACAAAATTTAACATTCGATGACTCAGTCATGTAAACTGTTATACAAGGTGTTTATTAAACATGCGGCAAAAAAATAAGGGGCTATTCGTTGGACTATTCTAAGAATATTTTGTTCTTTGATAATTTTTAATAGGGCGCTTTGTTTAGTGAACACCTTGTATTTCAGATTATATCGATATTGGTATCAGAATGTTTTATTGCCCTCATGATCTTCCCTCTACATTTTGTTTGACATGTTTGGAAATATTTCAATAATGTATTCATTTTCACTGAAGTTTACAATAATTCTTATGGGATTTGGATGAATGCTCAATATAATTCTAGCCTAACTGGTACGGTGCCATTACAACATGAACTTCTTGGTTTGCTAATGGTTATTCTGACGACACATTACCGCCAACATTATGGACCAATTGAATATTTTTGAAGTCCCCATACTTAGGCTCATTGCCATAGCTTACTTGACAGTTAGAATTGGAATTAGTAGCGTTGGAAGAACACTTTTACCACACTTGTGTTTCGACGCGAAATATGACTGAAATTGAGTTTCAGATGATGATACTATCATGGTTATCGAAACGCACGTCGAGAGATAGTACATTAGTTCTAGTGCGGAAAAATTATTTTCGCTAGAATCATACTTTCTTCTAAGAAGATAAAAATCTCCCTGTATTGATAAAATACATCTTCTACTAGAAGAGAATGTTTTTTCTTTTCTAGTTATTACCAATTCAGAAAAGTTTTGTTTGATCAATGCCATATATTACATATAACAAAAATCTTGAAATTAAAAATTATTTTGATGAAGTTGAATTCTGATTTAAGCTCGTAAACTATTTTCATTTCTTCCCCTCTCCCAGAACTGAGTCTTCATTATTGCTGAAACTTCGAATTCTGTCGGTTGCTTACACAATGGATTACTTCTAGCTCGAACTGTAATGCGAGGCTATTGTAAACTTGTATTCAAATAAAGTAAATATTTTTTAATCTTTTATAACTTACTGATTTATTTAGATGATCTGTTTAAAAAAATCTGTTTTTTCGTTAATCAGCTGTCGCCCCCACATGAACGACAACTCTCAGAATTTAAGAAAATTGTGCGAGCTAAGGACTAACGAGGTGTTACCTATTTACGTGTGATTCCTAACGGATAGTTTTATATTGATCACATGCATTTTTCATGCATGTGATCAATATATTTTGCAACTTCCTTCGCCCAGTGAAGGAAATTGTGAGCATACCTTGAATTAGTCTTCAATGGTTTTCAAATACAGCTTGTGGTTTCTCCCCGACTAATTTACTACCAATAATAATGAATGGGAACCAAGTTCTTCCATTATTTTTCGTAAAGTTTCTCCAGAATCCTTACCGTCGACAGACCTCATTATATTGCACAAGAAAAATATATAATAAGATCTTAACACTCAACTTTGAAAATTCATAACTACCATTTTAGAAAAAATCCGTATTGTTGAAATTTTTCACATCTGTTATAGTTGATGCAGCTTCCTTTGTTGGTAAGATGCAAGATTATTTTCTTTGTTAACGGTGTTGGAAGATTACAAAACAAACAAATACATATCACAAAAGTCCATACTCGACCAATTCGCAGACACACCATATACACCAGGGTCGATACTTTTTCAAACCAAAAAAAATAACAGTAGGATGAAACCCATTAGAAAAGTAATGGAATATGATAAAAATGGAAGAAAAAATAAATTGCGTGCGATTCGAGATCGGGAAGTGGGAGGGGGTGAGTTTTTGAGGGTCAAAAATGGTTTATCTCGATTTTCGGCAAAACTACAATTCCTATGGAAAATTTAATGGTGAAAATGTAGGTAATGAAAAGGTCTACAATTTTTGAATGCAAAATTTTTTCGCATAACCTCGAAATTTATGTGAAAAATTCAAATAACCAAGTTTTTGGGTTTTCATTTTTATCTTTTTCAAAAAAAAATTGGTGAAAACTCACTTTTTAATGTACCAAATACACTAGGNCTTTCGAATGAAGTGGTTATTGCGTATTCGGGACATATAAAATTTGGTTATTTGAATTTTTCACATAAATTTTGGGGTTATGTGAAAAAATTGTGAATACAAAAGTTGTAGATCTTTTTATTTCCGACATTTTTGCCATTCAACTTTTATCCATAGGACTTTTAGTTTTGCCGGAAACTGGGATAAATTATTTTTTACCCTTAAAAACTCACCCCCTCGTACTTCCCGAATTAACATCGCTAGTAATTTATTTTTCCTTTCATTTTCATCATATTCACCTCCTTTTCTAATGAGTTTTATTCTACTATTATTTTTTTCACTCTTTCCCATTTTTGAAGACTTCAGCCCTGGTCTTATAGTGGGCTGAGGCCACTGACAGGTTCGTTTAACATCGGATGAAAATCACCCGTCATGATCAACAACTCCCAACCCGTAGATCGACGACAACCGAATCGTCATACCCATTTGTAATAAAATTTGCAATGAACTAAAATGGAACTTGTAATTTGTTCTGAATTTTCACGGTTGCTTGAAATTTGTAACTTGTTTTCCAAGAAACACTTGTAATATGCATGTAATATAAATCGAGAGCTATCTCTAAATAAATTTCTCCACCACAAAAAATCGTGATATCATCTCATAACTATGTCGAGTTACCCCTAGAACAGGATGGTAATAACATATCACCGTATCGCGCATATTCCTCAGACGTATATTACTTGAGACGTCTTACAATAGTAAAATGTGATGGAATTACGATATCCTTTAGATTTTATTCGGACATAAGCAAAACGGGAAGAGGCTAAAATCATCCTCGGGATGAGGTGGGTATCAGTAATTCAGGATGTCCTGTAGATGCAAATGCTCTGTTATAATGTCCTGTGGACACTCATGTGAATATTCACGAGAATTGCTGAGGTACAAATGGATACCCTGAGAAAACTATGAATTGTTACTTACTTGTTCTTCACATTATCCATTCATACTTATCATATATACCTTCGAATTAACATTGCAAACTCCTCTTGACATAACCTTATCTCCACTCCGACAAACCGGGCCCCCCTCACTTCACCTGACCCAGGCTGTCAATCAGCTTTGTTAGACTCAACTATCCTTGAAAAATAAGCCTGAGCCTGACTAATAAAAGGCGATTACATCTACTTTTACGAAGATGCCTTCTATATGGACGTAGTATCACCGATTGCCCAACATCCCAGTCCAACCCTGCTTCAGTTTGTATATTTTGAATAAATACTAAAAATGTTGAATCCATAATGCTGCATTATATATTTATTAATTACCTACAGCTTCAGTCGAAACTGAAGATATTTATTTATTTGTGTCGTATTTTGCTGGTTGTTATAAATCGTATATAGTTTTAATAACAAAATAATATCATTATCGGAATAACAGTTTATTCATTGTATTTTTGATAAACGAACCCTCCAGACATCTAGTTTTCACCGTCAGAACTCCATAGTGTACCTACATCAACTATAATTCAGAAATATAATATACTTTAGCCGCTGCTCACTAGATGTCGCTTGATATTTAAATTGATTCACTATTAATCTGCTGATCATTTACAAAATACAGGGTCTAACTCAGTGGTCGCCAACCTCCTCAATGTGTTGAGCTACTTTGTTAATTTTGGAATAAACAGCGAGCTACCCACACGGAAGCCACGTAACGCAACGTAAATGAAATAATCCACAGTTAATT